CTGAGACAAGCAAGTTTCATTTCTTTGAACGCACTCTGGCCAAGCAATGGAATCTGGAGGCAGGAGCCGTGGCTGGCCTGAGATGCTGGTGCCTGGTGCCATTATCGGCGCAACACGACGCAATTACGTTACTTGGAGGTCAGTGTTGATGAGCAGGTGGGCAGCACACTTTCCCACGTGTCTGATGGGAGAATACGGGAGAACCACGGACGCTGATCGATTTGAATGGCTCCTTCTCCAGCTCATCCACTTCATTTCAACTTCCCAATCGTGGAAGAAGGGCAGCGCTGCCCTTCCTGACGTGCACAAGTCCTTGAGCGCTTGCTTAAACATGTTCTCATGACTATCTGGCCGGGCTTGATCATCCACAGTGCTGACAACATCTTATGCTTGTCACGAACGACAGGTAGACGGTCTTTGTAATCAAGTCAGAGACCGCGTGCGTGGCTCTTCCATCATCCCGTCGCTACGCTGTGGAGGTTTAGAAGGCACTTGTTCATTCGACGTGGACGCTACACAACAAGAAGATACAAGAAGCATTTGAGCTCCGCACAGCTAAAAAGCAGCTGAGGGAGAGTCTGCACAGATGGTGAAACCACATAGGCCAGCAAGGCATCTCAAATGCAATAGCGTGTCGGCCTTCCAAATGCTCACGAAGCAAATGTAATGCTTTCGTAGCACACATGACCAACACGCCTGTGAGAGACTTCGTAGCCCTCTCGCCTCTCATCGCCTCGGCACAAACGCGATAACCAGCTGAAGCTGGAGCCTTGCACCCTGGCAAATGTCCAGGGGTGAATTTATGTTTCAAAAAATGGGCTCCAGCCTCCGGCGACTGGTGCTTGAGGCGCTGTGGAACCTTGCACCACACTCAGGCTGCCAAGAGCTTCTGCACGAATTGCTGGGTGGGAAAAAGGTAACTGAGTTCACTGGCGGTTAGCCATTGCGCGAGTGATGGCAGAGTTGGGCCTTGTTTGAAAGTGACCCCGTGCAAAAAGCGGGGGAAGTCCACGCAAGGGCCTGCCAAAGCTCGTATCAATCGAGGTGAAGCACTCAATTGAAGTGGCCAGAGTCTCCCTGCAGGTCTGCAATCGCATGTCCATAGCCAGTTTCATGCACCAGTACATTGCATATGCTCTAGCAACGTGCTGAGAGCAGAACAGGCGTCTCCACAGATCTTCATCAGGCAACCGAAGACTGCAGAAAATGACACAGGGCATATTCCAAACTTCCATAAACTTCCTATAATTGAGTTTCTCATCCCTTGAGTCCCGGGCCGGTACCGGCCTGTGAGTCAAAGAGGAACACACTAGTGCACCCGCATGCATCCGCTGTGGGGGTTGCACTGAGTCCCTCACGAATTTCCAACAAACGTAGGACAGCTGAATTGAGCACTTTCAAGGCGCAGTACCTACCCCAAGCAAGTAAATACATGCCTCTAGCAAGCTTCTGGAGAGGCAAGATCACTTCCTGAATAAATGCTTGTGCCATATGTGTAGAGGACAAGTCCTCAGCAGCGCAGGCTTCAGATTGAGGAAGTCATTCCACAACACCAGCACCAAGCAGAGCACCAGCAAGGTAAAATCCAGAAAAGGATGCAGCCTACATCAGCCTACATGTATGTCCGAATTGGAGTCAAAAATGTTGAATGCTAAGGGCATGGCTCATCTTGGACAAAGCAGTGCGCAATGAATACTAGCGTAGCCAGAATGTGCCCAACCTCTGTTGCCTGCACCAGTTGGGTATACATGACTGTGTCTTCTGCCTTCTCTAGCGCGTGGCTAATTCACAGCCAAACCTAGCCTGCATGTTGGCACATTGGACGTAAACATCCATGAAGTAGGCGCTGGCATGCGCCAAAATCGTGCATATATCCTGGTGCCAGGGCAGCTGGCGCGAAAGCAATATCCACTTTAGCCGCGGTAGGCCTCTATTCGATAGTCGCACATGCGCAGGAACCTGGAACGGCGTCTAAGCCCAAGCTGGAGCACTCAAGTATCGTTTCCAAATAGAGAACCACGTCGACCACAAGATTGATCAATGTCTTTCAGGGGAGACCTGCACAAGTAGAAATTTCTCCGCTTCCCATGAAGTAAGGTCTTGCTCTAACGGCATTGGCCTGAGATAAAAATGATAAGAAACATCCCGAAGAAATGTGCAAAAGCTGTTGTGCCACAAACTGCGAGCATTGGCTATGTTCCAGCCACCAGCCACGCATCTTTAAGTTGGAAAACGTTGTGCTTAAACGAGCCACCAGCTTGCACATGCACTAAGCCGTTCTTGGCTGCTGCTTTACCCAAATCAGAATGCGACACTGTGAGCTTGTGCTTGTTCACTAATTTTCTCATAGGAGATCTCTTGCAAGATGCGCAAATCCAAAAGCTTGCGAGAAAAGTTCGTGAAAACCGTGGAGCTCAACATGGAAACCCATAGTTTCATCTGTGGTTGAGGATTCTCACCTCTTTTGGTCTTGCTGGAGATCTCCGTTGCCTGAGGTTGGTAAACAGGGGCACTCGTGTCCCAATGCATTTCAGTTGTACATGGGCTCAGAAACAGCTCACACCATGGCGACAAAAGCTGCTGGATTAACGAAATGCACGAAAAATTGCAAGAGCACATCTTGCCTGAGAACTCGTAGAAGAAGCTTCCCCGCCTCGGCATTAAAAACACCTGCAAGAAAGACCATTCACCACCTCTGAGCTTTGCGCGGCCGGAACAATCGATGTCAGCGGCGTGAGCTCCAAAAATCGCGAAACCAATGGAACGTCCTTGCTGCATGACTTGCATACACAAGTGTGGCGCTCAGCTTCAATTCAAGCAATAATTTTGAGTAATCACTAGCATGAATGACCTGTGAACAACTTGGGAAGATTGGCTGTTTCGAAGCATTTCTGCAGTTTTGCAGAATCATGGCTTCAAACGAAATTAACCATGCACTGATCGGCATGTTGACCAACAAAGCCTTTCTAAGGATGACTGCTTCCTCTAAAGTGTTTAACTCACATGGAGTGCAATCTTGGTGTATGTGAGGTTGAAGTAATGGTTGACAGCTGCTTAGCTTCAAATTAGATCTCCAAGATTGCACGCACTGCAGATCAGACATGTCTACAGTGGCACAAGGTTTAAGCGCGGGGCTGTATACAGAGGCATGCCCCTATGCCATCCAGCTTTGGGGTGCCAGCGGAAAATTGATCGTTGGAAGTGCATACGTGACAAGCCCCTCAGGGGAAAACCGTGTCCCTTCAGGCACGTGGATTAAAAACCCCCGAAAAGCGTGGGCCCGAACTTAGCCCTTCACCCATGCATCGGCAAAAGAACGAAAACAGGGAACACCCCAAGGCCTATACATTAGATGGACAGGGCTGGGGGTGTTCTGCGCAACTCACTGAGGGGGTGGACATGTGTGGTTCAGTATGAGAGGGAAGCGATGGCCCCTGAGTGTTCAGAATGTCTCATCGAAACGCCGGGCTTAGGGCTTAGGGTCCGTGTTGAACGGCGCCCGTCCTCTGCGCAATGTGCATAAGAGCGCAGCGGCCACAAATCTTGCCTGGGACCACACTGTAGCATGTGATATGGATGATACACAGAGTTGCCTGCCATGGCCTACCGCTGCCCAAGCAAAACATGTGCGCAAGGTAACACACAAGGCAGCCCCGCCGGAACGCAATCGTTTCCCAAGGAATGGCCTCACGTCAACAGGTGCTGACCGTCAACAGTCAACATTGGCCTTTTGCATGGCGTTTCCCGCATGAAACCATGAGGGTCCTTCTGCTGTCATCTTTTATCAAGAATCACTAGCATGCCTCGATGCCCTCCAACGTCGTAGATGTATGACCAGCTGAGGAGCTCATCACGGCTGTGCCTAGCTGATCAACCCAGCCAAGCCGATTCGTTTGAATTCGCTGGGCACACAGCTGGCCGTATCTGCATGTGGCCTCAGCACGGTCATACAGCACAATCATCTGGACATCATTCTGAATACACGCTATATACACTGGTACTCGGTGGCATCGATGGCATGTTCCGCAATGAGGCCAAGACTTGTGATCTTCTGCCCCGCTCTCTGTACCAGCTTCCCCTTGCTTAACAAATGCAGATGAAGCTTCAAATCTGTTTGTTCTCAGGTCCTGGCACCTCACATCCTGGCAAGCAAGGAGTTCAAAAGTCTCGCTCGAAAGTTCCCTAGAGCGTTTCGAGCTACAGAACCGGCTGGCTTGGATCTCACAGAATTTGTTTTGGAATGTTTTGGCGATGCGCTCCACAACGCCTGTGCTTGAGCTCAGAAGTTGTGCAGACACCGCAAAGAAGCACCAACGAACGAAAACAAAACCTCGCAAAAAATCACCCAAGGTGACCTAAGATAACGCAGCGCTGAGGAAAATCCACCAACACTCCACCAACGAGTCAGCTCTGGCCGGCACTGCACCAAAACATACCAAAACAAGTGCATGGCAGGAATTGCACGAAGCCTTCTGAGTAGCTGCAACTTTTCCAGCTTTGCCACTGGTCCTGCAGGATGCCCTGGCATGGGCGAAAGTACCGCTAGGCGAGAGCTTCTGCCCGCCTCTGAACCTTCGTCTGAACAGGCCGGGGCCTAATTTGGTCTACGCAAGCCTGCAAACGGTAACCCTACTCTGGTTGCCCAGTCATTTCACCGCCCAATCCACCCCGCGGACCGCTGCCCTGCTGACATACCGTTTCATACTTCCCTGGCTGTCAATCGCCCTGCGTCAACGCAACCTTGCTCACGGTAAAACAATGCTCATGAAGACAGGACACCACTTCAAACCACTTCTCTATTTCTTTACGATGGGAGAAGAAATGCACTATGCACTTCGCGAGTCACTGACAGCACTGGGCAAAGAAGTCCCTGGATGGCAGCAGCACGCGATTCCAGTTGGACAAGCGTCCAACATCATGCTAGCTGCACAGGCCGCAGGTGTGTAACAGCCAGAAGCTGTCAGCTGGCTACGAATCCGGGGACAATTTGTACATCATTTTTAAATGATTGTGCAGCACTCATCCGATTGCGCAATGAGTTTGCTCACGTCTGCTTCGCCTTGCAACCTCGGCAACTCTCTTGAGCCACCGCAACATGTGACAGAATATCGCCAAAGCTTACCACTAATCATTGCCACTGCAGGCACGAGCAACCCCTGCAGGAATCTAGCCTGCTGCGGTGTCGTGATAGTCCCAGGTCGGCACATTCGCAGCCATGGCAGCAGAATCCTCAGCATCAAAGTCAGCCCAAGGTCACAGCTTGCAAGTCTGTTCAGAGACTGTACCTCAAAGCATGAGTGAATCACCACACCGCAAACAAAGGCCAAAGTCTGTCATGCTGAAAGTGACGACAATAGGCTCACCAGAAATATCAAACCTCTGGATGGCCAGGACGGCGGCGCAAACACCGGAGCGTCCAAAGCCTGCCTGAACGCACAAGTTGAACACATAGCAGGGGTACCTGGACAGGCTAGACCCTGAGCCGATTTCAGGCTTCAATAAAAATCCACATTATTGCTCAAACCTGGTGGGGAGTTGAAGGATCCGCCGGCAGCGGGGGCGAGAGCGCGGAATCATGATGCTCAACTGCTGCCCATCATCATCATCATATCATCATCATACAGCTCCTGACATTATTATGTCCCAGTTCTCGGGGGGGGGGGGTGATCAGGGGGTCGGGGTAGGGGTGGGGCGGTGCAGTACTCTGTTTGGGTCTGCATTGCACTTGCCGTGTGGACAAGGATCGGGAAGGTTGAAGAAACTGGTAAACAGAGAAACGAAACAAATGACAGGGGAACTGAGGCTCCTCCTTGTCATCCATGGCGCGAAACATGACAATAGTCGTCAACAGCGTGGTTTCTATGATTTCTCTTCCAATCCCTGATCATCATGAAACACCCATTTGCCGAGAAAATAACCAAGGGTGAACGTAGCTGCCATGATTCTGGTGAACACCATGAAGCACAAGAATTGAAGTGGCAAATATTTTTGCACACAAACATTGAAGAAACGAAGCAAACGCCCAAGGGCCAAGGGAGGTATCGAGAGGAAAGCGCAAAGCGCACGAGATACACTGGACAGATCTGCCTTACAGTGAAAGGCTGTCGCGGCATGCTCCCGTTTGCCAGCGCAGCCATTGACGACCTTCTTCAAAACATCCTTGCAAAGGGGCGTTCACGAGAAAATGGCTCACTGCATCGTTGCTCGCCTCGCCTTTGGAGGCACACCACCCTGGGTGTCATCATAAGCTGCCTGGATGTGGGTCATGCCGCCTTCCTCGAAGAGGCTCGGTTCATAGCTCTTTGCTAGACCTGCACCATTATCGCGCATGTTTCTCTGAAATCCACACGGTTTGTCTGCAATTCCAACTTGCCTGATTCTTTGTCCTTGTTCAGCCGCACCAGCGTCGTGACATTGTTGGATTCAAACCATGTCAAGAAGTTTGGTGATTCTGGAGGAATGAGATGGCTCGCAGTGGCTGGATCTGGGTCAAGCGTCGTAGTCACCTGTGCATGAAATTCACATGTCTGCAGGATGTGCCCCCGGAAACGCGCTCCGACACTTGGGCTCATGCTGGGTCCGCGAGGAGAAGAATCTGGCCAGGGATAACCCATGCTGCATCCCAGCATGTGCACAAATCCCGATATGCCTCGGTTGACTGAATGCAAGCATGTCAAGCCCTGCAGGGAATGGGTGCCAACGTCTCAACCGGACATCACGCCAAGTGGCTTGCGGGTCAAACAGCTCAGGCTCCAACCACTTGTGCCTTCGAACGATGAAATGTCTTCAGTGCAAAGCACACACCCTATGGTCAGAATGCGCGCCTGATTGCCAAGTCTAACGCTGCCAAGGATTTCTCCAAGGATAGATGTCTGGGAGGTGCTGTTTTGTGGAGTGGGGCCCACGAGTGTTGCCTCAACTGCACACAAAGCACCTTGCCAAATTGCGACGTCATGCGGACGTGACCTGGCACATGTCAAATAAAGATGCGAGTGCTTGCACGGCTGCAATGCAGTTTGCCGACACTCTTCCTGCGTGTTGGGCTGAATAATGAGCTCGTGTGTCTTAATTACTGGCACACCTTCTGCCAACCAAAACGTTCCATGTGCAGAGAAAGAAACCGGAATCCAATCTCGTGTCCGACCCATGCAGAGGCAACGGCTTCAACTGCTGCACCCCTCCTTACATACAATCAATCAACGCAACCGTGACTTCACAAAATCAGCAAGGTACATTGCATGAGAGACTACCTCAAGCAGGCATCATGAGCAAAGGGTACGCCGCAGTACAGAGAGCCGAAAATGCCCTGTGCGCGTCAAAGTCCCTCCCAGCAGGACAAACGACCAAGACTTTTTTGTTGGCCTTCGCTGCCAGGGCTGGGCACCATTGGCAAAACCAAGCGAACACATACACTGCGAGCAATAACTGCCAGAAATGCAGGGCACCTGCAACTTTGCGTGGATGAAGCGACTAGCACCAACGATTTGATCCAAAGCCGGTGGTCCGTCGTCGTGGTAGTAACCTTGAAGCACGCAGCACGAGGTATGTGGCCCCATTAGGCCTAGCATGTCTCAAGCTCTGCTCAAAATATGCAAGAACCGCATCTACGCCTGAACTCAGTAAATTTGATTTTAGGGCAACCATGGCACCATCCACGATATAATGTGGAACTTGATACGCCCCTTTCCTCACGCATTCTTCGTTCAGAAAGCAAATCACATCAACATCTGCGGACGCGTCAGTCACCTTGGATTGCAAACATACGTCCATCCCAGCACAAGACGCTGGCCGGGCATAGCAAACGAACCAATTCACACTGACCCTGCTAGCCCATGACCTCCAATCGCCGGGGCCATCGTCATGCAATCAACTTGTCAATTCATGGACAAAAGAAAAAAACACGGGCATGACTTTATGTGCAGCTCTGCAAGTTGTTTCTGAGTTTGGGAGCAAACTCATTTCCCAAGGCTGGCAGAGCTGCGGACAGACTACTTGTTCTTGGCCTCAAGACGTAAGCAATGCCCGCCTTGTCTGCCAGCTCCATTCTTGTATCTTCCACTGTAATGTAATGTTAGCTTTTTGCCAGAACAGTTCTGATCTGTTTGCTGTTGCCACACAGCCCCCTAGTCTATTGAAGATTTGGGCTTTATGGTCAATGGAAACCGTAATCAAACTGCCGAGATATACAGCTGTGTGTTTCCTGGGAACCAGTTGGCCCTGTGCTGGGCCTGTTGGAAAGAATCTGACTGACGATATACGTGGATTGGCTGTCAAACTCACGCATTTGCCACAGTTGAGTCTGAGCCCATAGTATTCAGAATGCCTTTCAATGGCATGCAAGAACATTTGTACACTGAGTATTGGCTCCGAATATCAGAGAGTCATCTGCATACAACACCTCGGCAAAAAGAATGCCATCAATCGGCTCTTGTTGGCGCCTCGTACATAGCTCGACTTTTAGATCAGAGAAGAGAGCACACACTAGTAGCACGAATAAATACGAACTCAAGGGACATCCTTGCCTTTTACCCGCTGATTGAACCCTCCAGTCCAATTCTGTGGTACCTAACTTTACTTTGAACTGAGGAGTATCATAGACAATTCCAATATCTTCCAATCAATCCAACAATCTTACCCGGAACCTGCAATCTACGCAGTGCTTCGATAAGCTTTGTTTGTGAAACTTTGTCCAAGGCTTTGTCCCAGTCCAATAGGAGTAGTGTGCTGTGTTGTTTGGATGTTTCAGCAATATCCTATAAGCGTCTTGCTATGTAAATGGCTTGACTAGTGAAATTGCCTTTTCGAAAACCGAACTCAACCACGCGTCTAAACCTGCAGCCAATCTTTCCTTAATCAGCAGCAATATTTTTGTAGCAAGAACGAAGGAAAGAAATCGGTCTGTAGTTTGCCCACGATGGTACGTCCCCCTTTTTGTAGATGGAGACTACGATTGCTTTCAGAAAGTTTTGATCCGTAAAGCCTGTTTCCAGACATCTATTCGCGGCCTAGAAGAGGGTTAACCTATTTTCTGCATGCAGCCACTTATACAACTCACCTGGAGTACCATTTTAGCTAGGGGTTCTGTTTGACTTGATCTTACTCAATACGTCATCAAGTTCGAGCGTCGCGAAAGGGGAATCATCAACTAGGTATGTGCCATTTTGCAAAGGGACATTTTGACGAGAAGGTTGTTGGGGGTCTTCGCCCTCTTTCTTCTCTTGAACATTTTGTAGGTAATGCGCCGCTTTCAACGGGTAATCCTTATATGGTACATGGTTACCTGAGGAGTCTTTGAATTTAGTGAATGATGGTGTGAACTTGGCACGAAGCTTTTTCAGACCCTCCCATTTATATCTCTGAGTAGTTGCTTCTTCCATTTGGGATAATAAATGCTCTTCCTTATCTTGACGTACGCGCTCTTTGATTTGTGCACTCAAATTCTCTGCCAGCTCACCTGCACCAATTTCCAAAGCGTTCCAGTTGGCCTCCAGAAGTTCCCAAGTCTCAGCTAAAGTGTACGATCTCTTTTGTTATGGCGGTATACGAGTAGTAGTGGATCTAGCACGTACATTTTGCGAGCGATTGTAGATGTCTAACGTCACGTCTTGCATATTGATTTCCCCTAGGTCTTGAGACCGCCTTACAGAGACAGCGTTATTGTAATTGATCAACTCTTGCGGAGAAGGCGCTCGATAGCGAATTGTCGGTATCTCTGCTGAACGTGTAATTGACTTAAGCTTGAATATTACATCACCGATGTTCACCGATCAAAAGCTTGTGGTCTGCATCAACCGTGTGGATTTTTGTTGTAGTAATGCTTGTAATGGAGGTTTTCCATTTGTGACTGACTAAGATGAAATCCATCTGGGCGTGTTTGCCACGGTGGCTGCCTTCTTTTTACTCCAACTGATCTGTAGGTAACAAGCTTTTCCATATTCCGGGAAAGGCAAAAAACAACAAATCTACTACGGGTATCTTGCTGGGCCTGAGATAAACAATCCAATTCAGTCCATGATGCTCCAAAAGTGTAAGGGCCTACCACACCGGATTCATTAGGGAGAGCTTTGATGAGCCTTGCATTGAAATCCCCGAGGATAACACGTGGTGAAAAAGCATAGTGAACATCTAGCAACGATTCGAGTTCATTGTAATCCCGGGCTGCAGCATGCTCATCACCATGGCAGGCTTGAGGAACATATGTTAAAATGATGTTAAGGCGACCTGCATGCCTTGAGAGAGTCAGCATAATGCTTCTAGCACTTTGTTGTTTTACGTCTACGACATACTTCTGAAAGGATTTTTGGTAGACTATACCTTCTCCAAGATGCTCGATAGCCGATTGAAAAATCCTGACGTGCGAAGCATTGTTCCTCGAACCTTTGCCCAAGCATTTTAGCTCCTGTGCTTTATTGCGATTCTCATCTGATACCCCGCTAGACCACAGCATTACAAAACCTGATGTTCCTCCTTTGAGTTACTATTTGTCTTAGTCCCTTGCAAACAAAGAGTGTCAATATTTCCTTTTTCCATCAGGTGTATCACTCTTTCGCGTTTAGATATGGATGAAAGTCCACGACAATTTAGGGAAGCTATTCTAGAACTCGTTGGGTATTGATTTAAAAGCGCGGTATCCTGGTAGTGAGAGGCTTCGGCAAGGACACTAATTAGCTACGTCTGTAGACTGTTTCCCTGAAATTCGCGTGTCAACATCATCGGTAAGAGGTGCTTGTGAGGTTCGCCGGTTCTTGGGCAAATGTAAGCAGGCAACTGGGCAAACACGAGGCCTACGATTTTACCTGACGAAAGAGTTGTGTTTGGGTTCTTCGTTTATTGAGCCAATTCCATATTTTGCTTCGCGAATCTCTTTGCTTCCAGGAATGGTTAGGAAGTTGGGAGCTTGCTCTTATCTCTGAATAACTCCGGTGTTTCACGTAATTTTTCTGAGGTTGGTTCTGCGAAAATTTGTTGCCGCTGTCCTTGATTTGACTCTCTCACACGTATGCATCTGACAAAAGAGATGGGCTACGGCTAAGGAACTCGAATATCATTGGTCCTGACGGTCAAAAACTGCTTGCACTAGGCTGACATGTAAAACGCTTACATATGTTGGATGCCAGTACCGAAGACATGCCTGCAGTCTACAGGCCATGTGCGAGCTACGTTGATGCAAGGCCAATGGTCGGTTCAATGCAATAAGTAATATGTGGAGGCGAAAGACTGCTAGACACGGAAACCCGGCCCTGTGGCTGCTATGCCTCGAGAGCTACCTGGGCATAAAATTTGCCGTGCAACGGCATCTTGATGAAATGCGTGTAGCAATGTAACACCTCTCTCTTCACTTTGGATGGTGCCGGGTGAATGGAGAGATCTGCTGTTGCGGCCCGTTGTTGCTTTTGATACTAAGCATTACTAAGCCAGTCAAAAACCCTACCCCGCATGAAAAGAGCTTTTGATTGCCAAGCACAATGTGGTATATGTGACGAAAATAGAGCCCCGAGGAATGCGTTTGTTTGAGAGCTTGGAGGTGTTGGAGCCCACAAAATCCCGGGCAAGGAGAAAAAACCCTTGCCCCAAGACGGCTTCGAGCTTCCAGCTGTCCCGTCCGAGCTTCCGGATGTCATGACATTGTGCAAATTGCATGTGTACTTTGGCAATGGTGAAGTTGAAGGGAGAATTTCTTTGCATGACACCGCCTCGGGGAAAGCCTGGGGAAAGATTTGCTAACACAGCAACTCAATGTTCGACATCAGCCACCTCGGCTGAAAAAACAAATGCGAAGGACGCGACAATCACTTGCAACGTTTGCCTGCAGCTCATACGTGGCAGTGTCCCTCAGTTGTGAAGAAGCCATGGGTGACGGTGAGCGCTATGTTGTCCAATTCCATCCAGCACTCCGCAGCTGTTTCAACTGCTTCCAAACACCTGTTTGTACCAGGCCTGTGGCATAAGCTCATGAAAGTGCTGCTCGTGCTGCAAGCCACGCTCTCCTAGCATGGTGCCCTGGCCGGGCTGGTCAGCCAGACGCTGCCCAACCGTTGGCACGGCCACGTGCAAGTCTCCTTTGGCAGTTGGTCCGGGAACTGTCCGGGAATGGCCAGGCTATGATTTAACCCCGAGACATGCAAGAATTGATCGAGATAGCTTGTAAGCGACCACCCGGCGCACGCGTGGGCGCGTGAACAAGTCCACCCTTGCGGTTCTCACCCATATTCGAGTGCCGCACCCAACAACACCGTGCCAGCCATAGGTTGACCGACCGGATTTGGCTCTACGATTGAGCTACTGCCTGGCATATTGGAGGGCATCATTGGCACTGAAGCAAGGATTGGCACCGACTGGCAGGCATGAGCCTGGTGCACCGAGAGCTCTTGACCAGGATTATGTCGCCAGCCTCTGCGAAGTGGCACGGGCGGCCTTCTGACGCAAGGATGTTAACACGCCCTTGCCACAGAAGGGTGTCGAGATGGCAACGCACCTGGTCCCATGCACTTACTGGAAGAGGATAGGGGTCTGTCTGACCTTGGATCACAATCCATAGTCAGCCTACACGCTGGCCGGGGTGCAAGTGTAAAAGGTTTCTCTTGTTTTTCCGCAAAGCATCTGACATTGACGCAAAGAGGCGCTGTGCTACCACTGAGAAGTCACGGAACCCACGCATCGCTCACGGTGTTCAAGTAAAGCCAAACATCCCATGTGCAGAGACTTATGACTTGTTCAAACGCTGCGCGGTAAGTTTCGACTTTAGGTGCTTAATAGTGAGAGGAGAAACAAAGCTTGCGCCTGAAAGAAACCCCTGCAGTAAGAGAGGGGAAATGTTCTGCTCTCGCCCAAAAACTCATGCTCCATAATAAACAGTAATCAAAAGGAGGCACTGCCAAGAAAGAAGCTGCCTGACTGGGCAATAAAACTTACTGATTCCATTTACGAACACCAGAGCATATGAAAAAAAGAAACACGTTAGCACATTGGATGTGGTGCAGCCTGAGCACCTTCGGCGCCCATGCTCCACCTTCCTTCTCGCAAGCCACGTCATCCGCCCAGCGCAACTCATCCCCCAAGACATTCACGACTGGCATCGGTTATGGCCAAATCCGCGCACTAGCAAGTCAATGAATGCTGAAGGACGATCCTTTTTGAGCGCTGAGCCATCTCTTAATTATGAGGGAAAGTCAACAGCATGCTGCATGCAAGACCGCCTCTCATAAACCACTTCTGAGCTGCGCTGTGGTTCCCCCTGTCCATGGTAAGGTGAGCCCCGCCCTGCATGCTCTCAGCTTTCACTGAAAATGGCAACGTGAAACAACTCTGCATGTTCCCAGCATCGATTAGATGCAAGAGACCCTTCGCAAGGCATGAGAGGCTGCAGCAAGATCAACTGCAAGACATTTCCAGGCTGCAAACAATATTTGGGAGCCTCCTGGCGCGGAGCAGGAAATGGCACAGCTCTGCCGGCAGTTACCTGAGCACAGTGCCAACGCAAAACCCTAAACAATGCACGAACTCTCCCATTCCTATGTAAAAGCGTTATTTCGCCACTTGTCTGGCACACGGCAGTGCATGGACCGTGTGGGGAGAAAGGCATCGTGCCCTGCTGCATGTGGGCCTTTTATTGCACATCATGCAAACAAGTAGAGATGATGGAACATATGGCCGTGGTTGTTCTATGTTGTTCTTATCATGTCTGAATACTACTCCCCAAGACGCCGGCATTCATGAATTGGCAAGCATTCCTTAGAAGGCCAGACAATCAAGTCTTATTCTCCAAATGCATGAGGGCAGCACGGTGGTTATGTGCATCCTCGTGTCGCTGCAGTGTCTGCCCAGCCATGGCCAAAAAAACAGTGGGCACTTGTCTGCAAGCTGATAACTGCTTAATGCAATCTGTGGTTGACACTTCTGCTGCTAAGCAGATCTCCATGTGCAGAGAGATAGGACAAAAACTTGCAGTAGCACGAGTGGACCCATGATGTCTCCTCAACATGGGAGCTATCACGTAGAACCTGCACGGACTGCATGGCCACCATCAAATCCTACGTGTTCTGCAGGTTTGATGGCAGCAGCGAAGATCCAATTTTTATTGCTGGTCATGCAACCTGCACAAACCGAGTAGTCTAGTCCGGAGCTTCGCATGCTGAACCCTTTCTCAGCGAAGTCGCTTTCTGATATCTTCACAACGTCTTCCACTGTACATTTGGAAGCGCATCTACGACCTTCATTGTTAGACTCCTCGCGTGGGGGGAAGTGCAATTGCAAACATCTCTCAGCCTCGCTCCGTCCTTGAATGTTGGAAGCATTTCTGGCTCCTGTGGCTGGGGCACCTCTGCAGGTCCGAATACCCAGAACCCAAGAACAAACACAACCCGTGCATGACAACATAATGAAACGAATCAACAACGCCCTGCCTCTGTAAAATACGAATGTTGTTGAGCATCTGCGGCACTCACGCGCCTGCGATATGTTATTTAGCATCTCCGCACCTTTTGGAGCAAGCACGGAATGCATGCAAGCTTGAAGTACCCGTAGACCTCTCTGGACACAGCTGCAGCAGCGATTGCAGCAAGTCCAGGCCCGATGCTGACAAGTTTCCATGCTCTGCTAGAGACTGCCAGCCTGCAAGCACAGTATGTCACAAACACTTTGCAAAACAGACTGCATCCCAGGAGGTATCAATGAGCCATGTCCGCTAAACCACGCATCAGCCAGTCTAAATGTAAGAGGCAAATTCAGCGGCACTCGTGTTGGTCACCTAGCTTTGAGTTCTAATCTCCTCCAGAGGGACCCTCGGAGGCCATGCCTGGAAGCAAATGCTTGAAGCTGTCTGCCAACTTCCAGTTTGGAAGCTCTTCGCATCCAGGCCAGGTTTCCTGTCAGACTTTTGTGGATCACGTGGGCTTGGGTCACCAGTTTTCACGGCTAGAGTGCAGATCAGAAACCTGGCAGGGAAGGCCGACCAAGCCGAAGATCAATCCGAGCTGATGTAGCTCAGCCTTTCCCTGCAGCCAACGCCACCGTAAGACTGAAACAATGGCAGGTAATCTGCATTCTACCTCAACAGTAGCCATTCTTCCAACCCTGCCGCAACAGCTGCCAACACAAGAAAAGGCTACGACAGATTGCAAAATTCAGGACCAACACGAAAACGAACAGGCGACGTAGGTAGACCGCCTCAAGTTCAAAAAAAATCCTGGGAGTGCTGTGCCGCTTCAGAGAACCACACCATGCCATATCGCACACATTATCAGCAGCATACCAAACCAAGGGAACAGCGAGGTCAGGTGCCGTGTACTGGCATCGAAATTTTCGGTTCGCACGCCACTGCATCCCGCCAGAGTAGGACTTCTCAGGCCATTTCTGAACCTCTGACGGGTGGCGGTTCCAGTGCGCATTTCTTGTGCATTCCCATGCCACTGTCCATGAAAAAAACCTACGCTTTGGCCAATATGAAGGCACACGAAATGGTCGCTGTCCATTGAACCTTACGCCTTCTTCACGGTTCGGTGGCTTGGGGTGATTCAAGCGGCTGTGTAGTCACCAGCAACAGCTTGGAAGGGAAAGTCTGAGGAGCATCTTTGTATGTACAGTGTACAGCTTCAGTCCATTATGTCCACTGACATTTTGGTTGTGAGAGCAATCATCACCTCATACATGCAGACAATATCCCATGCCGTGTGCGAATGTCACGGCTGGCCAATGCGGAGTTGGTGTGCCTGTTGTGCGAAGCTTAAAACAAGCTACATAAGCTACTCCATCAGGGATGACAGGAACAGCCGGAGTTGCCCTGTTCATTGCAATACCGGCTTGTGCACTTGCTCCCGAACCAAACGATAAATGCGAGAGTAGTACGGGGCCTGCACTTCTGCTTGAGAGCAGCGCAGACGAAAGCTAGAGCACAGCCAGCTAGCCCGATTTTCTTTACGCATGCTGATCGACTGTTGCCCGAGTGTCCGTACAGAGCCTAATAATACCCTGGCTTCCATGCCTTGACTCGCTGCTGATCAGAGGCAACGCACCCTAGCCCTCATAAACCACCAGACAATCCCACTCTCTGCTCCAGTGTCCATTCTCTTCTCCATTTGCTTCTCCGTTGTTACAGTAGAATCCCTGTATAATCCGTGCTCAATCCACCCTTTTTTGTGTCTCACAGGGCCACTGCGCATGCACAACCACTTGGGCAACACTCAATCAGCATGCGTGAAGAAATCTGTCCCGCTTGTTTGCTGTGATCTAGACCCCCCCCCGTCACCTGTGGATACCCCCTTCTATGGTGGCTCTGCCCTACACGCCAAGCTGTCTGTTGCGCCGTTGAATTTTCTTGATTTGTCGAAAAAAGCTTGCATTCGCAAGGGAATTTCTATGAAGTAAAGCCGTTGATGTGTGCTTTGTCCGCGAGATTTGCTTGAATGCTCGACCGATGTCAATTTGACGAGGGATGTATGAAAGAGGCTGGGGGGTCAGGGGTCAAATGTCCGGTGTGGTCCAGCAATTCTCTCTGCTCTGTTGCACAGAGTAATGAGTAGCCCATACGAATCATATACCTAAGAAGGCCTCAGTCTGCAGTTGACAATGTGCTTCCAGCCTCCAGCCTGGCCTCGCCCAGCATTCCCGATGGGGCTGCTTGGATTCTAGGGTTTGGAGCTGCTTTGTGTAATTTATAGTTTGTAAGGCCATTTGGGGTACTTTGGCTCTCTTTACCGTCGAAGGCTCGGGCCAGCTTAGGGTTCAGGAGTTGAGATTTATTGGGTGGCTTGGGGCTGTTAAGGGTTCAGGGCTAAGCATGGCAAATGTCTCGAGGGGGTGGGAAGAGGGACGAGGAAGGATTTCCAAGGTTTGGCGATCTCGGGGCTTTGCGCTGGAAACCTCCCCACCTACACCCACTTGAGGAAGATGGCAAGGCACTGCCGCATGAGTGCAAAGCCTGGAAGCCTGCTGACTCATGTAGAGCATGCGCGCATTACGTTGGGTCATCCAGCTTGTCGGAATGCTCTGCTGAAGGACCAGATTTTGTTCCTCTTCCTCCTCCTCCTGTGGTCAAAGTATTCCCACTCCTGTGACGCGCAGGTGTTGCCAGCCCTGCAGTTGGGGTGGGCTAGCGTCTGGGCTTGTTTGAAGCTTAGGGGGTCGGGATACGCTAAGACCGCAGTCTCGACCAAGTGACAAAACCTATAGGGAGAGCCTGGCAACACTTCGCGGTGCATTGCTTCAGCAAAAAAAATCAATGCACGCATGCTGCACAAGGACATCAATACACATTCAACGCAAGGACCACTCCTGACACTTTCTTTTGTGTTTAAGATTGTTTGAGACCTCCACAACGAGTTCGTAGACCAATTTCACATGAGCTACTCATCAGCCTTTCCGATGACATGTGCTGCAGAAACTTGCTGGCCACCTCGAACAATGGTCGACGCAGCAGGATCTCTCCGAACACGCAACCACTGCTCCAAATATCAATTGCGCTGCTGTAATTCCTGCACATTGGATGACGTGTTGCACGTTAGCACAGCGCTGGCACGCATGTTTCAAATCATGATGAGGGTGATGGTGATGAAAATGCATATGAATATAACAAGGCCGTGCACTGGCACACATGTTTCAGACGCCTTTGTCCCAACAGTAGTTCTGGAGCACGGTACCATAGTGACTGTACCTGACATATCCTTACATCTTCTAGAATCAGGGAGCATCTTCCGAACAATTCCTTGCATCCATGGCACACGCTGAGTGCAAGGGCGCAGCGGCCTGGCAGAACAACACAGCATGGTCGACAGGTGCGCGCACGCGTAACATGGCTCAGACTGGGCCAACATCGCCAATTAAGAGCATCACTCACCAAAGTGCCGCGCCAAACCAAAATCACAAATCTTGAGGACCCCTTTCCTCAGCTGTGCACTAAGAGGTTCCCGCGTCTGGGGGTATACTGCAGCACGGGAATCGGAATTCAGCCCTTCTAAGCCTACAAACACAAAATCTGTCTCAGATTTGCATCTTGTCCAGCAAGATGTTGGATGTTTTGAGGTCACGGTGCAGAATCCATCGCTGATGCAGATGTCCAACCCCACGAAGCATTTGGACCAGCAAGCATTTCATTTCCGCTGTCGCAAAGCTGTGTTTGGCAAGCAAAACTCTCAATTCATGCTCCACATACTCCATTACCATGAAAATGTGCTGCAGCGTGTTTCCAACCACCTCGGGGCAAGGGTCAAGTGCATGGCAAATCAAATTCGCAAAAAGGCTTCCTCGGCAATCTAAGCTTCCAACAACTTCACGGCAACGCACAACGTTCGGGTGCTGGATCTCCAAAAGCAAAGATATCTCGCGTAACGACGAGCTCGGAAACCCATCATCAGACTTGACCGCCGACAACTTCAACTGCTTCAGAGCAACAACCTTAAAGGGCATTCAAGGACGTCTCATGTGCTTGCATGCCGTTGCAGAAACAAGAGTCCTTTCTCAAGTGCGTGATTGCGATTTGAAGCTCGGAAACTTCTCCAGTTTCGATGTCAGAGGCTCTGTATACAACGCCATATGTGCCCTCATCGATCCGGTTCAGCTTCCGAAATTGTTGCACGCTGCGGCAGGCGGGGATTATGGAGTCGCAGCCACTAGACGGCGCGTGCGTTCGAAGGCGCTTGGATCCGCCCATGCAGTTCATGCCCAAGTGTCACGCTTGTGGGCATTCTCTAACGGGATTGCATATTGCTGTGGTTACCCCACTGTGTGATACTACAGGAAATCTAGCTTGAACATCGCATAACTTGGCAACTGCGGTAACTGAAGCTTCACACAATGGTTGAATGTCCAAGTTACCCGTACATGCACAAACTACAGGAACTGTCACCGTCATACCCCTTTTGTTCAATTGCTCGTTGGCCCTTCACTGCACAGCACTGCCACAAAAATGTTCGTCCTGCATGAGGTGAAACATGATACACGCTGCCGAAATTTGCCGAATACATATTCAATGTGAATTGGTTGCAAAAGTTCATCAACCAGCAGTCACAGTGATTAGTCAATCCGCCATCCGTAATACGCGGGATCCCTGCGTGCCAATCAACTGATAAGTGAAAATCAATGATGCTCTTCCTCAGTGCCATACGCACCCAAAACAACCATTCTACCAGAAAAGCATTGCCCGTCCCCCGCAACGGAGCGAGAACAAGTGCCCGCACGTCTCCCACAGCGGGGAGAAAGAAAACAAACGTTCCTCAGCCGTTTGACAGTCTGAAACGTTAAAAAACGGTTGCTTTTTGGTCCCCGCCTCGCAGCGGCGCTTGCTTTATGTTGATTGCATCCTCGCCCGACTCCACGCAAAAAACACTTGCTCATCGGTGATTCTGCAAGCCGAAATGTTTTTCTAGCCTTCTCGGATTTTTACGCCTGCATAACGAGTCCCTTGGGTGCCTTGCTACTGCGGGTTGCTTCACGGACTGCCTATTTGCCGTCCTATCATTATCTCAAGGCTGCAGTAGCAATAAGCTGGGCCTTGTGTCTTTTCCCCAAGGTCCAGGACGCAGTCCTGCGCTGGGGCTGCAGCGAGCCATGGGCGCTCAGGGCGGCACATGCAACCCCCAGCTGCGCCTTCACTGACCAGGCAACACACCCTGCCAAAAATATTTGTTTCCCCACCCATCCCCCTGCAGCAGGGCGAAAACACCATTCGTCAGCCGCTTCGCAAGCCGAAACTTTCAAAAAAAACAGTGGTTGGTTTACGTTGTTTTGTACGTCTCCCGCAGCGGAACGAACAGAACCATGCGGCGGTAGTTTCGCAGCCCAAAACGTTCAGAAAACAGCGGTTTTCACAGCTGCGGGCCCCCGCATCGGGGCATTCCAAAACCCGTGACGATTAAGAAAAAATTGTTACCGCCCCGTGCTTGAAAACAATCGTTTTTCGGCTGCTTCGCGCCTTGAAACATGAAAGTGGCCCCTACTCCAAGCAGGGACTTCCTGATGAAATGAAAGGTCTTTTTTGTAATATTGAACTGGCTGGAAAAGTCATGCACGCTTTATGCAATCCCGACAATACATACCCATATAGTTCTCACATAATCCGTACCTAGCTAGTAACGCCCTGTATAATCCGCATATAACCCTTATGTGGCCCCTATGTAATCCCCACAACATCAATAGATAATCCTCATGGAATATTTCTTAAACAATATATATAACCCCCATACGACGCTTACATGATCCTCACATAATCTTGACATATGCCTTATTTATTTGCAACTCACTCAGATTTGGGAAGTGCATCACAAACAAAAGTTGACTAACAAAAGTGGCTAAATCAAATGAACATCCAGCTTTAAGGAATCTCAATTCAAGAGAATTACATCTCCACAGAATCTCAAGCGATCAATCTATCCCAAATATAATTTCACATTGACCTCAATCAGAATCATTTATATAATCAACTCAGCGCACCACTCTTTTGTCAATGGGGAAATCTTGCCACGAGCTTCTTGCTGCTTTGTGCTTGCCTTTCCAACGGTGGGTTAGGCAACTCAAAAGCAGACAACGGTCGCTACACGCGTGCAGAAACTTCAGTAAGAGAAGTGAGACAAACTGCGCAGCCGGAACAAAAGGGTGGGCAAGGGTGGGTCACAAAATCAGCTCACTCAGAAAGCTTGAAGAGGTAGTGCAGCAGCGGCAGAGAACTGAATGTCATCACATGCACGAAATCTGAGACGTTTCTGAAACAAAGCGAAACTTGAGTTTTCAAAATAAAGCATCATAAGCAAGCATATGTTGACTCTTATTTGCAACTCACTCAGATTTGGGAAGTGCATCACAAACAAAAGTTGACTAACAAAAGTGGCTAAATCAAATGAACATCCAGCTTTAAGGAATCTCAATTCAAGAGAATTACATCTCCACAGAATCTCAAGCGATCAATCTATCCCAAATATAATTTCACATTGACCTCAATCAGAATCATTTATATAATCAACTCAGCGCACCACTCTTTTGTCAATGGGGAAATCTTGCCACGAGCTTCTTGCTGCTTTGTGCTTGCCTTTCCCCCCCATTGGCCTCAAGCCAAACAAGCGAACACGTTGGCCTCAAGCATGACTTCTTTATCGGCCACAAGCCAAGGATGGGGTATTCCTCTTGATGGAGGATCGGCCAAGTTGCTGATCGAAGGGATGCGCGCATACCAAAGGAAAATGCAATTGACGTCTTCAGCCTCACAAATCTGATGGGCTATTGCATTCAACAGGGAGTTGCGAGATCTCCCTCGCAGGATGGCACCTCGAGCACCCTCATTGTCCAAGAAACAAACCATGTGTTTATTGCAAAGCCAAGATTTCCATTGATTGATTGCCGCTAGAACGCCCACAGCCTCTAGCTCCGTTATGATTTGCTCCTCATCGGAGGTCGCCATTTTGCGGCAATGGTCCTTGTCAAGCACGTGGGAGAACCATTGGACTACCTTACCTTGGTCGTTCACTAGAACGGCGCCAATGCCACCAGTAAAGGTACTCGTCTCGAAGTGGGCATCTGTGAAAAGGATGAACGTGGTCTTGGACTGGGCGTCTACTGTGCGCGGCCTTCCATGTTGAATGTACTCAAGAAAGAGTGTCATGCTGGCACAGCAGTCATCGTCCAGCAAGCCATCAGGTGGATGTTCATGAAAGTGGCGACCCAGGGCATTAAAGAGCGCCCTGCACACTCTTCCAAACAACTGTCCCTCGGCGAACGTCATCCTGCCCTTGAGTCTCGACGTCTCTGGTTGATGGATTCTGCCAGCGGCCAAAAACTTGCTGATCTCTTCTTTCAACTCTTCTTTCCTTGAGGCGGTGTTCTCAATCAAGACTTTGCCCTCACCTGATTGTGAGAGGTTAAGAACAACTCCAAGGAGGGAGATGGATTCCGACATGCTGCCGCTCTTTGGCCCATCTCTGTCATAACTCCAACCTAACAGGTCGAAAAGCATAGTCAAAGCTTTCTCGGCATTGTCGCTGCCCTGTTCCGGCGCCATGTTGCAATAGTCGTCAAAGTAACAAGTTACAATGAGAAAGATTTGCAAAGCTAACCATTGCAGGGCACGTGCACACCTTATGAAAGCAACCACACTCGCTCTGGCACCAAATGGTACTGCGTACTGCTGGAAGCATTCTGCTGCCTCAGATTCTGGGTTGTAAATGCTCAGCCTGGCATACTTCAAGGACGAGTCTGCAATGGGCAACTGACGATAAGCGCTCTTCAGGTCTAAAGCACGTGCTTTCAACTTTGTGCTCTTGCCTGCTGCATTCAGAGCTTTAATTGTCTCGGCCGCGGTTGCAGCAACAGTATCGGGTCCATCCACAGTGACTTTGGAGGTGATGGTGATTGAGTCATTGACTTGGCTTTCGGAGTAATTGTCAATGCATCTTACCTTCCCACCTTGTCGAAGAGGAAAAACGCTTCGAAATTCGCCCATTGTCTAACGCATCCTGGAGATCTTCAACTTTGGCCAGCCATCCCTTGGTTACCTCTTCACGAGATTTGTTCCAGAGCTCTCTGTCTAGCTCCAGGTCGCCAGTTGAACGCGTGGAATCAAGGATAGCCATGTTGGCAACACGGCATTCGTGAAGGAGGTCGTTTTCACTAAGAAGAGCTGGTTGAAAGGTGCTGGGTAGAGCTGCCGCCTCTGGCGTTTGGCCGACCAGGCAGAATCCACTAATAAGATCGTCAACCAATGTAACGTCCCTATAGCCCAATTCAGTAAGCATCTCCTTCATTAAAAGAAGACGTTTGCCCTTCAGGATTTCTCGTCGATGGGTCGGCAAAGATTGGTGAAGTTTCTTCTCCTTACAGGCAAGTGCTTTAGCACGTTGGGTCCAGTGATTGAAAAACACAGTTCGCATCTTGATCAGGTCGCCCAAGTCCATCTGAGCATTGGCCTGGATGGCTTTGTTTAGGGCTTCGGTTACCCCTTGGAAAACATTGCTTGGGTGTCCTCTGTTGATTGCCTCCCTCACGAACTCCTCTGGGGAGAAAGGAAAGGCTATCTTGATCTGATGCCAAGTGCAGGGGCACACGCTGCTGGAGATTCTTTCAGGAGTACTGGACTCTGCTTGGGCCATGGATTCCCCCTTTGACGGGCGAGGCGGAGGCAAGGGCAGCGTGTCCAAGATTTTACAACCATTGGGGATCTTAACCTGACCTGACTTAAGGGAAAGGAGGAGGGGCTTGGCAAGGGTCGAGGGGGCCTTAAGGTCAGGTGGCTTAAGGGCAGTGAAGGATTGCACGTGCTTGAACTCGGGCATGAGCGTTGGGCTTTTTCGGGTCTGAGTCAAGGTAGAAACGGAACTGAAGGCGTGTGGTCTTGCGCTGAATGCTGGATAGGGGCAATGGTACCCTGCTTGACAAGATGCATGATGAGGAGTTGAGACCAAAGTTTGCAGAGTTCGTGCGGATATTCGACTTCCGAAGCAGTGGACCAGCCTAGTCCGCATTTTCCCCACGGGAGATGCGTATGTTGGTTGTCACACTCTTGGGACAATGCCATCAATGCAGAAACTGACGTTGCCAGACACGTGGCTTTGGACGGGCCCCGCCGTGCATACAGTTGGCTAAGAAAATGAAGTAGGGCCGCAAATGCTGTAGGACAGCACGCCACCACACTGTCTTCCAGAAGAGTGAGCGATGAGGCTGTTCGAGCGACCACTC